TGAACACTTTTAGAGAGCTGTCATTCACCTGCTGTTCATCTTTGTAAATCTGACCCCATGAAGACTGGCTTTGCATGTGAACATTGTGCATGTATGTAAAAGTGGTGAAACTTCCTCAATCTATGAAGATGTTCCTTTTGTACATCTGTATTTATACAACATAAAATTTCTCAAGATCAGCCTTTGGGTGACTGTGTTATGTGGTGATGAGCCACAGTGGTTTTGATCAATCTCATCAAAAGTCTTAGGTGTCCCTTATGGTATTTTAGATGACCAGTTATAAATCTGAGCTACCAACCACAGTCACATACACCTATACATTTCACTTCTTGACCTATTTATGAATATGATTCATCTGCTCATAACTCTTATACTCACATGACTATCATTAGCATAGCTGAGTGTTTATGGTGGAAAGATATGTGTGTTATTATTGCCTGTTTTATTGTACAAAGTGACCCATGAACTGTTGTTACGTTTTTATATTTCCAAACTAACTCCCCTTATTAAATGTTGTGTAAATAACCTTTAAAGATTTTTTTCCAGGATTAATTGAATATTTGAGATCTTAGACTTTAAGAACTTTGATCTTTGGGAACTTCAACCTTTAGGATTCTGATATACAAGATTGTATTTTTTTGGCATTTTATTCCAGTTCTAGAAAATGCTTTTTCAAAAAATTCCATTCCTGGGCTAGCTTTCTGCTGTGGACCTTTGAGTGGGGTCTCTATTACTTCTCATGGAATATTGGGTGCTTCTCACCCTCATATTTTCACAGGAAGGGCAGCAATTCCAGAATTCCAGACATGGTGTGGGCTAGGCTGTCTGCAGTCTGTCCAGCATGGAAGCATTTTCAATGAATAGGGAGTTCCTGTCAGTGGCTTGTGAATGTTTTCAATCCCTTGGGCCATTTTCCTACCGATCACCCTCTCTCCACACCTAGTTTAATTCCCCTGAAGTGTATCAGCCTGGAGTAGGAGCTAGGAAGCCTGTGGACATGTGCATGACCTGGTGAACCTGAAATCCTCAAAGGCCAGTGGGTCAGGACACCAGTGATTGATTTGGCCTCCTCAGGAATGCAGTCAAGCCTGTGATTCTCAGCCCCGAACAAACCTCCTCCACTGAAAGAGGACAGGAAAAATCTGGAGGACAGCACTGTCCCCATGAGGAAGGAAAAGAATGGAACTTATCATTAGCTTCAAAGTAAGTTTGTCACAGATGCAAAAGTTTTGATGAATCAAATGTCTGCACTATTTAATATGTAGAGTAAAAGAATAATAGAAACTCTCTAGCTTCACATTTTGCCCCTTTCGGTATCCAAAAGGTCAAAATCACCAAGGCATTTCAGGAATCTTCCCATGCACTCAACTTCTCTGGTGATGAGGACTTTGGAAGATGGTGCCATGCTTGGGCTTCTCTACCAAACATACGGAAATTCAAGCTTAACAGAAGCTTAAGCCAACATGTTTTTTTAGAATATCAAGTAACAATTGTTCCTACTTTGCAGAAGCAGTTTCAAGACCTGTCATCAATAAAGTCAAGTTCAGGCAAGACTTTCCACACCTCATCACCCCAGCCACACCAAAGCCACAGGCTGTCCACGTAGAAGTGTAGATTCTGTCTCCATGTTCTTGGCACCTCAACTAGAGTGCACCTCACTGCTCCAGATCAAGGTCAGCAGTCCTCAAGCTTTTTGACACCAGGGGACAGTTTTGTGGAGATAATTTTTGTATAGATGGGGTGGGATGGGATTCAGGATGACTCCAGGAGACATGCAACATCAAGGGTCCCTCATCCCTCACGTGCCCAGTTTACAGCAGGATTTGCACTCCTGTGAGAATTCAGTGCTGACACAGTTATAATGAAGGTGGTGACCAGAGCCAAGGAAAGCAGCCATAAGTACAGATAAAGCTCTGTTCATTTGCTGTCCCCTCCTGATGAGTAGGCAGAGCCTTCTGGTCTAGGAGAACACAGGTTGTGTGAGACCAGGATAAAGGTGTACACCACATGCAAGCAAATACTCCAGCCCTTTTAGAAGCATCTACCCTTGCAGCAAGCATGAACTCACAGCTGGGTTTGGGAGGAAGAGGTTGGATTCTGTTATCAGCTTCTAGCTCTGCAGAGTCCCCCTGGGAAGTTGGAATCAGCAAAGATGTCTGCACAGCCTTTCAGAAGAGGGAAGTGGTTTCTTTCCAAGAGGACTCTTGCCAGTGCCTTGCAGTGGACAGAGTCAATACAGAAATGCACTGAATTCAGAAAAGGATTCTCTTTCCCAGTCAATCCCAATGACACACATCCTTCCAGTGAACAAATAGTCAATGTTGCAGAATTTAAGGCCTTGCAAGGCTTAGCTATGAAGAGAAAAGTCTGTTTTGGGCCACATTCTACAGCTGAATGAGATCCTGTTGAATGTCTATTTCATGTAAACAATATTTAGCCCTATCAGAAACACAACAAGCAAAGTACATGAATTCTTTATGACTTATCAAGCCCAGAAAGATGAAACAGCCTATTCAAGGTCACTCCACAAGTGGATGAAGCTCTCTCATTTTGCATGATCCAGGACTATAGGTGCGCCTTAGTTTGTTTAGGCTGCTATAACAAAATATCTGCAAACTAAGTGGCTCAAACAAGGGGATTTTATGGAAGTGCATGATCAAGGCACTAGTGTGGCTGCTATCGATGGTGGCTCTAGCTTTGGCTTCCAGACGGTCACCTTCTTGCTGCATCCTCATATGCTCTCTTTGGTCCCATAGAGAAAAAGACACAGCTCTGACACCTCTCATTCCCTCCTTAAATAAATTCCATTGTTTCTCTTTAAGGCATACAATATAATTTTATGGAATACATATAGACATTAAAATTTTACTATAACAAGACCCATTAACATGGCCATCATTTCATATAGTTACCTACTTTTTGTTTTTGTTCTTATCACAAGAACATCTAAAGTCTACTTACTTAGCATGAGTCCTACATACAGTACAATGGCATTGCCCAGAGTTCCCGTGTTGTGCATTCCTAGTCTCAATCTGTTTTCCTTCCCATCCAGTGCTTTGTGTCTTCTGGCTTTCATCTCTCCATTTCTTCCTCTCCCCCACCTACTACTGTTTTTTTTCTATCTCTATATATTTTACTTTTTTTAAATATCACACATATAAAGAAAATCATGCATATTTTTTTTCTTCCTGTGTCTGGCTTATTATACTCAGCATAGTGATCTGCAGGTTCATCTAGGCTGTGGCAAACAACAAAATCATTTTTTCTGAATAATATTCACATCTATATGAATATATAGTATATATAATATACCTCATATTTAGCATATTAACAGTTTCCAGATCCATTTGTCCATCAATGGACACTTATATTCTTTCTGTATCTTGGCTGTTGTGAATATTATTCACAATAGTATCTTTCATATGTGGATGCTACTGATTCATTAGGGATCAGAATATGTTCCTATTCTCATGTAACCTTAGAGGTATGAACCTAAGAGTTCCCCTAAGGTGTACTAATATTGTTTAGACAAGATATGTCTGCATCTTGTTATCTGAATAACTACTACAAAGACAACAATATGCAATGTGTTAATTATTGTAACTGTCCTACTAATCTGTTTTGAAACTGTTTCATTGTTATTTTTCTCATTAAAATGAATTAAAAAATTTAAAAATAAAAAATAAAAGGTCCCCTAAGAGGCATGTGGTGGTTAACTACTGGTCAACCTATAACACCCAGCTGAGCTGAGTCAGTGTGGAGCTGGGAGTGAAGGTCCACCTGAGGATTGGTGGCAACAGCACAAAAGCAGAACTGGAGGGAAAGAGGATGTGCTGTTGATTTCCCTGAAGAAGGGTGCCGTGCTGGTTTTCCTGGTATGAGAAGAGTGTCTTTTTTTTTTTTTATGGAACCAGGGATTGAACTCAGGCCCTTGCGCTTACCAGGGAAGCACTTGTTCCACTGAGCCATCTCCCTGGCCCTGGTTTTCCTGATATGAACTTGGCTTGGTCCTCACTGTCACTGAGGTTGGTTGTGGTTCTTTTCTGGGGAGCTCTGGTCCCTACTGTGAGTGTCACTGCCTGGTGTCAAAGCAGATCACTCAGCCTGTTGGCACAAACCTTTCAGCCCACCAGTGAAGACTTTCTAGCTTCTACCACTGACCTTGGGGTCCTCCTAGTGTAGAACCTGGGTACAAACCTCCTGAGACATTGTGGTGGCTCTTGGCTTCCAGCTGGACTTAGGAAGAACATCGCTATGAGCTCTGGGTCTTTAGCTGGACTCATGCAGAACATTGCCATGGAATCCAGACCCTTAGCTGGATTCTTTTGGTCTCTAGTGTGTAGACAGATCTCCTGCACTCTTTTGCATTTGACTCTTTGGGTGAATATTATAAAAGAATCCTATAAATTATATGTCCTGTATTAAATCTTTTCTCTTGTAACACATGTGCCTGACTACCACAAGGTGCATAAGTTCAGAGGCAAGGTTTTTGGAAGGTGATCGCATTCTGAGAACTCTTAACTTCATGTATGAATTAAATTATTGATGGATTTAGTATTGGATGGCATTACTGGGGAGCAATAGAAATCTAGGAGATGGGACCAAGATGGAGAGACTGGGTCATGGAAGTATGGTTTGGGGGACTGTACCTTGCACCTTATCCTTTCTTTTCTGGCTCTTTCTATCTCTGCTTCCAACCAGCCATGAGGTAAGCACGTTTCCTCCGCCATGCTCTTCCGCCATACTTCTGCCTCACCTTCAAGCAATGGAGCCAGCTGACCACGGACTGAGACGTCTACACCTTCCCTCCCTTAAGCTGACCTTGTTGGGCCTGGAACCACAGTGCCAGAAAGCTGACTAACACCCCCCAACACAAGACCTACTCAGGATTTCAGTAAATAAACTTGTGGGGACAAAAATATTCATCCCAAAACACAGTCTTTCTCCCACATTATGCTACCTCTCTGCAACAATTAGAAAAAAGGCCATATTACCATTTCAATATTTTCAATCACAACATCCTAAACTTTTTGATACTTGCACAGGGGCCATGCTAATCTTCTTGGTATCATTCCAATTTTATTATATATACTGAGAACACTAAATTTTTTCATTAGACTTTCTCTTCCTTATTTATGAAAGACAAAACAGAAACAATAAAAAAAATAAGAATACACATTATCAAAACAAATCCATTGCTTTTCTTGATGACTTTATCAAAACCCTGAGTAGCCGAAGCTCTCTTTTAATCCCCTATTGGTTGTAGAGATTACAGATGTTTTCTCCCAGCCTGGCACTTGACCCACATCTCCTTTCCTCAGAGATTCTTCATAGTTAGAGTGATCATCAGAACCGGAGGGGAAAGATACATTTGGAAGAACAGCCCAGCACTTAGCTCTGCAGGCATGGGTCGGTAACAAGCTGGGCCCAGCTAAGCAACAAATCTGGAGCTCGCTCAGAACACTGTAGGTTTAACACAGAACACAGTCCCCAAAACAACACAGAACAGCAAATCAATGAAAGACAAGAACAAGAGAAAATAAGATATGCTCCCAATGGTGAAAGATATAATCTTTCTCTAATACTTTCTATTCCCTTGCAGTTTAGAAATTATTGCTCTGAGTATACCATGCTCACAGAGGGAATTTTGAAATGCACAGGTGGGATTTGGTGTGGCCCCCTGCCTTCCTGTGTGCAGCTCCTGGGGCCCCACACAGGCCCAGCCTGGGTGCTGTGCATGGCGCAGGAGAATCCAAGAAGCAGCTGCTGATGACTCATGCATTCTGGCCTATGCTGGGCAGAGAACCATCTGCATTCCCACACTGCTCCCAGAGCTCACCTTGGCCCTTCTCGGGGGCTCCCCTTCCTCCTGTGGTCCCCTAAGGATGCTGACCCAGGACATCTCACCCTTAGGTCTAGTGACAGCAATGCTTTCATGCCTCTGCTCCACTCCCTCTACTCAGTCCTCTGGAGTGGTCCCCAATTTGGGGGAACCAGGGACCAGTTTCATGGGAGATCATTTTCATGGGCCAGGGATGAGAGTATTTGGGGATAATTCAAAGGAACCCTCAACCAAATCCCCCAAATCTGCAGTTCACAGAAGGGTTCAGACTCTTACAAGAATCTGGCAGGTAGCTAAGCTCGAGCTGAGTCCAACGGTGAGAATGAGCTGTCCGTGCAGACACAGCCGCACTCCCGCCCTCACTCACCTCTGCTGTGCGGCCCTGGTTGGGTGTTCTCACTCACCAGACAATGTCTTCAAGATCTACAGTGTAGGCACAACACTTTTTCTAGGGACTTTTAGCAGGTTCAGTGCGAAGTACCCCACAAGTCACAAGTGTGTGTCTCATTGCAGATTAGTACACAGTGACACTTAGTAGAGAGAGTTTTCTGGGTCCAAAGTCAGAAGACCTCTAGGTAAGAGAACTTCATGCAAGTCTGGGTCTCCAGTCTGCAAGGACAGCCTTGTAGAGACCAGATATCTTGCTCTAACCAGGTAACTCACACCCACCCCAGGTTTGTGACAGGGTGACGGGGCCACATGTTTTTGGAGCAAGGATCTGGCTAGGAGGTCTGGGAGAGGGGTAGGAGTGCGGGAGAGGGAGAGGGAGAAAGAGTGATATGTTTGACTAGAAGTCAGTACACACTCTTTAAACCTAAAGCAAACAGTCATGGTAGAAAGAGGAATCCAGGACCTGTCCTGAGTTAGCATGGGCATGAGAAAGAGTGGCACTTTATGCAAAATGTCCAGAATAAGCAAATCTATAGCCAAAAAGCAGATTACTGGAAGCCCCTGACACTGCCCTGCCCAGCGTGTCACCTGAGAGCCAGCAGGGCACTGCAGTGCAGACTCAATGTGGCTGGTGAGTGAATGAAGTCACTGTCTTCTGAGTGCATGAAGTCACGTCCCCAGAGCAGCGCTATCGTCTCCACAGGATGACTTGTTCGTTAGCAAGGGTGAATAATGCCTCAGCACACCAGCATACTTTCCCCCAAGCTGCTGGCTGGATACAGATGTTAAGGAACAATTTCACCTGCAAGTGGCTAGGAAGCCTCAGAGTCTCTTGATTCACAGCTGGGAATGACAACTGAACACCTCTGCCAAAGCTGTCTGGACAGCGCCAGGGGACAGGAATGAACAAACTTCCCAAGGGAATGGGTTAACTGCATCTTCACATCCCCTGGGTCAGGCAGAGGTAGAAGAACCAAGGATAGATCTACCTTCTCTGTTCAAGACCAACTTTGTTTCTATATTAACATGGAAAACAAACCTTTTCACTTTCACTTTATCAGTGAAATTTATATCATCACAATTAGATCTTAGTTTTATCCTCTAGTGCATCAGTTTTATCTTAGTGCATCAGTCAGAATTCTCCCAGTAAAACAGAGCCTGAGATATATATTCATAATACACAGACACATATGCACACTGCCAGGGACATCAAAATATATAATGAATGGTTAATTCTAAGAAGAATGGATTACAGCAAAAGATACATTGCTACTAATCCCCCTCAAAATACAGTAATATGTCAGTTCATGAACCATTTCACTAGGAAACAAGTTGGTTCGCAAACAGAAGTGCCTGACAAAATTTTGTTTTTCTTTGTGAACTCTACATCAGGTGACAAACATGAGCATAGCCATCTTTCCCACATAAACATGAACACAGCCATCTTTTTCAGAAGTTTGTGAGCTGAGGTGCCACTGTATTCCTTGCTTAGAACACACATCCCATCACTTAGGCTGCTTTCTAAAGCAGGTCTATAGTCTTCTTTCCTAGGTGTCTATGAGATGTGATTAAAAATATGGTGACTGCTGCTACTAAGTGCCAACCAGCAGGAAGGTAGGCTCCTAGAAATGTGACACTGTGTCCTCACCCACCTTACACACCAGATCTGACACCATGTGACTTCTGGCTCCTTCTCAAAGTCAAAATGACCATGACAGGTCTACCTTTAGGACATTGAAGCAGCCACTAAAGCCAGTCAAGAAAGAAGATTCCAGAAAGTTCTGCAGAAAGTGTCAAAAACAAAGGATGTGTGGGGCTGGGGAGATGGCTCAATGGAATAAGCACTTCCCTGGCAAGAGCAAGGGCCTGAGTTCAATCCCCGGTTCTGCAAAAAAAAAAAAAAAAAAAAAAAAAAAGGATGTGTGTGTGTGAAGCAAGGGGAAGATTCTGAGCAGACTTGTGGCAATGAGTCTTTCACTGTAATATATTTCTAAACTGAAACATTCACCATATTGCTCAGTAACTATGTGATTTTTATAAATACATTAAATTTACATATAAAATGTATGCTAAAATTATATACATGTGTGTTAAGCCGAGAGAGAGAGAGAGAGAGAGAGAGAGAGAGAGAGAGAGAGAGAGAGAGAGATATTCCAAGGACCCGGCCTATACTCCTTCAGCTCCACCAGTCTAAAGTTGGCAGGGTAGCTGGGAGGCTGGAGATCCTCACGCAGGAGCTGATACCACTGTCTGCAGGTGGAAACCCTTCCTCCCACAGAACCTAGGAACCGTGGTTTCACTCCCAAAGCTGTCCAGCAATCAGATGTCAGGAGCCTCAGGTAAGGAGGCTCATCTCCGCTGCCCTCAGTCCACATGCCTTAGGTCACCACGTCTACACACTCCTCGAAACACCAGGCCAGTACTTCACTGTATCGAGAATTAGCAAACTGAAGCCTACAGGTCAAATCCAGCCCACCATCTGGTTTTGTAGTAAAGTTTTATTAAAGCACAGCCAGATCTGTATCTTTATACACTATCTGTAGCTAATCTTGTGCTTTAATGGCAAGGCTGAATAATGCTCAGATGGCCCCAAAGCCTAAAATACTTTCTGTATGGCTCTTTACAATAAAAGCTTGCCAATCCCTGGATGCTGTGACAGCCTCATGAGTAAGAAAGTGCTTGATTTCCCACCCTCGGGAGCAGCAGACCAGGAAGACTGCTCTTAGAGACCTAAAGGGATGGAAGGCACCAGATTGGCAACCATTGCAGGTTTCAAGGGCACCTACAAAGCCATCTTCAACCCTGGCCTTTGGAGAAAATAGTTGTAGATTTCAAGGCTTCCCATGAGCCCACCTGCACCCTGACTTTTGGCAGGAAGAGGCCACCTAAGAAGGAGCAAGTAGTGCTTCTAGCAAATCCCAGGCCGAGCTTTGTATTGGGGTGCACTTCCAAAGTGTCTAACCTCTCTGTAAATATGGGGCTTAACTGATGGCTCAGTTCTTTATTGATTGTGAATCACTTTTAAAAATATGATGCCCCTAAACAAATGGATTTCTCTCAAGGGTTTTGGGACACAGGAAATCAGGTGCAGACCTGGAATACATGACTGTTTCATGGTGCTTGAAGTTGGTAAAAGAAGGAGCCATGTCTTTATACAACAATAAAGACCCCATGCAATTGAGGAAGAAAGGGACAAAGGCTTTCTACCCCATGTTTAGATGCCCAGGTCTCCAGAAAAGACACAAGGCCAGGGTTGGCAGTGTCTATGCAGTCTGGTCCCACAGGCATGGTTGTGTTGACACGAGAAACCACAAATCCTGAGCCACAGTAGCCAGATACCAAACACAGACCCGTCAGGTGTCATTTCCCCTTGGAAGGTGCTCTGCAGGCTACCTCCAACAGTGGTGAGTCAGAGCAAACACCTCATGGGTTTCCTCACAGGATACCACCCTGATGTGACAGTAGTGGGATGCCAGCTTCATGGCGCACAGCCATATGCACAAGGATAGGCCTAAGAAGGGACACTCAGTCCCTTTAAGGGCAGAGAGATGGTTCAACATTCCAGCCCCAACTTGCTCACATTGGCCCACCCAGTCTAGGTCGGCAACTGCCCTGAATCTTTGAATCCCGTCCACTTCCAAGTACTCACTTGTCTGGGAAATGGTGGTGCCCAGCTTTTAGCCACCACAGGAGCAATTTCCCAGAATTTCAAATTAGCTACAGAGTCATGTGGCCATTTATCACATTGATGCCAGCTGCTCCAAACCCTCACGCAAGGGAATCTGGCAACATGACATACTCTCAAGAGGTGGAAAAATGTTCCATCTTCCCCATGCCCAAGGGAAACTAGAAACAACACTTGTTTTTCCCAG